TTGCATTATTGTTTGGAAAAAAAGTTCTTTCATTGTTACACAGTGCCCCCTCTCAGGCCCTGGACCACTTTACTATGCAGCTCTTATTCTGGACCTTTTCAACCAATGAATTTTTTATAAGGGGCAGTTTCAATCTTCGTTGAGTTAGATGTATAATTGGTCTGTTGTTGCTGCTGATTGCCTTGGAGTCAAGCACACGTCAAAGAGACCCTCTCAACAAAAGGTCTGAAGCCCCTCTATAATTATCGACATTTATCAGATTTCATAGTGTCTAGTTACATGAAATTCTCAGCCAAAGAAAAGGCTAGATTTAAAAATGATAGATTCACAGCCAATTCTGGATGCATGAGATCCTGACCATGCTAAAGTGCCAACAACAAAGATAGATAGATAGATAGATAGATAGATAGATAGATAGATAGATAGATAGAATGATAGATTAACTGCTTGCTTGCTTGCTTGCTTGCAAGAATGTGTGGGGAGAAGGGAGGGAGCATTGAATCCAGCTTTTTAAAATGTGCAAGGAGTCAGTAGTAACAGAAAATAATTGCTTAGAAAAAAGACAAACTTGTGTACGAGTTCTGGAACGTGTTCCGTTTCTCTCTTCAATAGTTTTCAAATCAGTTAGAGAATTCATTAAATGTTTAAAGGAATCGTACTTAAAACACATTCTTTTTTTTTAAATTTAGTTTGTTTCTTTTTCATTTCAATGAACATCTACAGAGATTTTGGAATTCCATTCATTCATTGTTGCAACCTTCTCCTCACACAAACCCCTCCCCCTCCCCCCCCCCTTTTGCTCCTCTCCTTGAAAAGCAAGAGAAAAACTCCCAATGAGGGAGTTTTAAAGCACATTCTTACAACTAGCAAAGTGTAGAGAGGGAGCCCTGGGGAGCCTAGCGTTAAGGAGCTGTGCTGCAGTCCCAAGACCATGAGGTTAGAATACACCAGCTGCTCTGTGCGAGAAAGATGGTACATCTCCCGTTTGCATTACTGCCTCTGACAACACTCTGGGGCGGGGGGTCGGTTATGAGCTGGTTCCAACATGGCACATCACCACTACAACAAATTGTAGAAGCAAGATTTCTATGTTTTATGCCTGCAAATACCTCTTATGTACACCAGATGACAGACAGCTCTGGTAATCCGGTGCTAAGGAACTATGCTGCCCACCCATAGGAATGCAGTATGAATTTATCAGCTGCTCAACTCACGAGATTATAATCTCTCTCATGAGATTATAGCCTCTAAAAACCCCCTGGAGGGTGGGCTTTAAATCTGTTCTGACTTCACAACATGTAACAGCAGCAGCAACAAGATGACAATTACTTATGCTTCAGAGAGAAGACTGGTGAGGAAACTGTTTCATGTATCCAATCTTATCTCACTGGTAGTAGGATTTGTGGTATCATAAAATGATATATTAAGTAGATACTTCTTTTTTAAAGTCAAACATTTTCTTGTCAATAACAAAATATTCCCATTGTGCTGGGTAAAGTGGGACTCACAGCAACGTTCCAATGGGTTTCAGAGGTTATAAATATTTATAGGAGGAGACGTTCCCTTTTCCTCCCACTAAATATGGCTGGTGGGTTCAAACTATAGACACACTGACATGCTGCTTACTTTATCACCCACTTTCCTTTATAAAATAAAAGTAAAGAGCCTTACTGGCAAATGATCTAACTGGTTGGTTGTTTTTGTTAAGAATCTTGTTGATGTGGTTGTATGTCGTGGAATTAGGACCAAATCCTAGCTTACCCTCCAACAGGTTTCCAGAGTAATTTAACAGCAGAAATTATCCATCTCTCTCCTGTGGAACAGCTGGTAGATTTGAACCAACTGCCTTTGTGTTGGCAGCACGGCTCCGTACTCACAAGACCACCAGCGCTTTTCTGTTACAACTTAATGAAACCAGTTCTGTTCTGTCGGGTTGTTGTTGTTGTTATGTGCCGTCGAGTCGCTTGTGACTCATAGCAACCCTATGTACAACAGCCCTAAACTCTGCCCTGTCCTGTGCCAATCGCACTGTCTCTGACACTCCCATCCCGATTACCCCAGTCACTGAATCAACCCACCTCA